TACAGTAACGAAGTATTTGTACTTCGTTACTTCCCATCTCTATTTTTAACATATATCACACTGTACACATTGAACCTTTTATCAGCTTGTTTCATCATATCCACAAAGTCTTCACCCTCAAACAGACTTCCCGTCCTTCCCCAACGTCTGATTTGGCTGTAGTGTCACTGTGTCAGGTATCTACTGTAGTTGGGAGGAAGAAATTTAAACGATTAATATCCAGTGTATCAGCAGAACATCTTTCTTCTATGACAGAGAGAGACAGACGGATACAGGCACAGGAAGGGAAACACACACATTCACAAGCATGCACGCGCACACACATACACTCACATCCGTTCATACTACTACAGGCCCACTCGTTCCTTACCTTCTTCCATATGGCAGCATGTTGGCACCTCAGATGTCACTTGAGATTAGTTTTTTTCTTCCCTGACATTTTGAAGCCGCAGAGTCTTTGGTGGTGTCCTTACTCCGGCGTTGTCCTTTGCGTTGTAAACAAAACGGCTCCATACATCCAGGCTTTGTTTGCGCTCAGCTCTGTACACTGTACACCGGTATCCGAGCCCCACGCAATGACTGTGAAGTTGAGCTAGGAGTATAACCCCTGTGCTACTACTGACTGAGCAGCGCGAGGCACTGTGGGATACGTGCAGTGTAGAAACAAACAGGGCAACAACACGTAATCTTCTATGAAGCTCAAGAAAAACATATATTAACAATTACAAATTACAAATTAATTATAAACGATTACATTCTTTAATATCCATTCGTCAATGGTTTGTAAGTATCGTATGGTCTTAGTCTCGTTAACGAAAATCATTTTCTATTTTCATCATATTTTTATTTTTTTTATTTTCGTCATCGTTCTGGTTGACGAGATTAACAATGATGCTGAGGTGGTAATTCAGCAATTTGATTCAGATGTGAAAGCAGGGACACATCAGAAATGTGCTTTACACCTAAACCTCAAGGGATGAAATCAAGCCTGATTAAGAGAAGGTAAAACAATCTACAGGTCCACCAATTGAAAACTTTTGTGTTTTCAGTATAAAATAAGACAAGATACAACAGTACAAGGTATTATATGATCAGGGGCGTGCATACATAGACACTAGGTGGTGCTAAAGCACTAGGAAGTTTGCCCTTTATCAACGAAAATTCCCTTTTGAAACTCGTTTTTTTTTATTATTATTAATATTATTAAGATTTTACTGAGGTCGGTTTTGAAATGATATTTTGAAAACCTGAGCCATTAAAAACGACTGAAACAATGCCCCGAAATGAGCCACCTCCTTGCGCACACCCGACCAGCCTATCTCTCTTCCTCTGGGCAGGGCATGCCAGATGCGCAGCCTCATAGCAGTTCAGTAAACCTCTTCAGATAGCAGGAACGGTCGCTGACAGATTGCTTATCCCGTGCCCCATTAGCCAGGTAATATACAGATAAAGCAGAATCATTTTGTTGTGCATTAAAATTTCTCATTCAGCAGCACCAAACAAGCATTTTTGCCGACTGGTCCCCTGATAAA